AGCAGCAGGGTGCACCATCTTCTTTTTCCCAACCATCCTGTGGTGTTGAGTCATCGTTTTGAAATGACGGCGCCCCGCGTTCCTTCATCCTCCTTCCCGCCCTCCCCCTCCTCCTCCTCCCTCCTCCCTGCGTTTCACCCACCCAGGACATCGTTTCGTGGCCCCGTAGGGAGCTCCACCGAAGGCCCCAGTGGCAGGGTTCGCATGGCGGCCTCGGGGCATTTCGGCACACCCCTCAAGAGGATCGTGGCCCCATAGGGAGCTCCACCGGAGGCCCCCAGTTGCAGGGTTCGCATGGCGGCCTCGGGCCATTTCGGCGCACCCCTCACGAGGATCGTGGCCCCATGGGGAGCTCCACCGAAGGCCCCCAGTGGCAGGGTTCGCATGGCGGCCTCGGGCCATTTCGGCACACCCCTCACGAGGCTCGTGGCCCCATAGGGAGCTCCACCGAAGGCTCCAGTGGCAGGGTTCGCATGGCGGCCTCGGGCCGTGTCGGTACACCCTATCACGAGGATCGTGGCCCCAAAGGAGCTCCACCGAAGGCGCCGGTGGCATGGTTCGCATGGCGGCCCCGGGCCACTGCGGCACACCCCTCGCGCGGATCGTGGCCCCATAGATGTGCTGCTTCAACCGCCGCGCTTGGGCGTCGTACTCCGCCTTGTCGACGTGCAACGCCACCTCCTCCCTCATGGCTCTCAAAGCCCTCTCCTGCTTCTGCTCGTCGGTCAGAAAACGCCGTCCTTGACGTCGCCGGCGCCCGCAAAGACGGCCACGAACGTGTTCCTGAACATGTCGGGTTCCGGCGGGAGGCCGTGGCCACATGGGGAGCGCGGGCGAAGATGGTATTCACAATTGCGGTATTCACAGCTGCATACGGTTGGGTCGTTTTCCAAGCTAATTTTGACGAGCGCGTCCTGGATTTTGACGGTCCGGTTTTCGTGGGACGTGCGCAGCGGGAGCTCGCGTCAGATTTCAGATTGGGTCTCGTCATTTCTATGATGGCCCCGTCTGGCCAAACCGAGACCCCGTACCCTAGTATTACGTATCCCCGACAGGAGTGGGCCTGCCCAGAATCGATGCAGACGCGCGCCCTCCGATAGGCACCGTCGTCGTCGCCCTCGCCCGTCGTCGCCGGGCTGCTGGTCATGCTGCCCTCGGGGCGCGCTGCGGCCCCCGGGGCCCTCCCCGCCGATATCGGTGCGCCGCGGGCTGCCGGAGGGGGTATCCCTCACCTGCGCGGGCGTGGCGCAGAGCTCCCGAGGCGGGAAGGCCAGGGCGTCGCGGACAAAGCAGGGCGCGGGGTGGGTGGGGGGGGTCGGTGGCTCAAAGGGATGAAGTCCTGAGGGGCGGGGCCCCAAGGGCGAGGGGCCTCAAACAGTGCAGATCCGCCCTCGGATGCCTTCCTGCCCCTCGGGGCCCATGCCTCGGGACCCCATCCTCGAACCACCGACTTTGGGGGGGGATCGCAGGTGTTGCCCTCGGGGGGCCCTCGCCCGGCCTCGGGGCTGGCGGCTCGGGGGGGGGGGAAGCGGGCCCAATGGGAGAGTGTCGGGGCTTCCTGGGGGCCGCGCCGCGTGGGGGAGAAAATCAATGCCATCGACCAGCTATTGTGCGGGGCCACAAGGGGCCCCCGAGCCCCTCCCCCCAGGGTTCATCGACCAGCGAGCGCGAGGGGCCACAGAAGAAGGCTCCCCGCCCCCCCCCCTCCCCCGGGTATTTCTCGACCAGCTGCTGTGAGGGGCCGCGCGTCTGGGGAGGCGGCCCCGTTCCGCGGCAGAGGTCCAGCATGTTCGTCGCAAGGCTTGCGCCGCAGTCGTGCCATGGCCCCGCGCGTGGGGGTGCAATCCCCCGAGATTTGTGGAGGACGATCAATGGAGAGGAAGCGTGTTGCCAAATAATTTCCAGATGTCTAAAACATGTGTTAAACAGGCTTTACACATCAAACAAGCGCGTTTAAAACATGTTTCGAACATTTCTCTCTACATTTTAAGCACACTTTAAAATTCAATGATAGGACTGTTAGGGTGTCAATTGTCGTGGCATCCACAACCCGAGATCCTGGCGTCTCATTTTGTGTTACCCGAGCGGGGCGGCTTCACCCTGCTCCAGGTCCGAGGCCCAGGACCCTCGGAGATGGCTCCGGCGTGAAGCATGTCGCAGAACGATGGGGTCCGGGGCTCCGGTCACGATGTTCCAGGATCGGGCCGGGCGAAAGGGGGGGGGTGGGAAAGGGGGGGGTACGAAATTTGCTGCATGCAGCTGGTTTCGGCCTCACCGAGGGGCCAATTCCTCGATACATGGCCGCTCCCGGCGCCGGGAGGCGCCGGGAAAATCAGCTACGTGAGCTGATTCTCAAACCCCCCCTTTGCTATCCCCCCCTTTCGCCCGACCCGAATGGTGCACCACGCACTGCGTTAGATGTCCGGGCAGACGCGGTGGAGATCAGCCCCCAGCACTGCTGACGCAAGACTGGCCTTCACCATCGTGCCGCGGCCACGCGCGCGGGGTCGCAAACGGCCATGTGCACGAGGTTCCGCAGGTTCTCAGGGGCCGCGAGGGCGCGAGCTCCGCGGGGCGTCGGTCCGCGGCCCGCGGGGCCTTCACGCGCACGGCTCATTCCGCTGCCGTGGTCCGCACCCTGCGCGAGGGATTCCAGGCGGACGTGGCCACAGCATTCACGTCACGACCCCAGGCCTCCCTCCTCCTCCTCCTCCTCCTCCTCCTCCTCCTCTGGAAGAAGTCGGTCCGCGGTTGGGGAAAGAGGCGCAGCACACAAGAGGTCACTCGGGAGGGGAAAAAGCACACAGACACAATGAATCGTCGGTTCCCCCGAAAATAAGGGAAAATGTGGGAAGTGGGGGAAGACGTTAACCCAGGAAATATTTGAAAATATATGGGAATCCTGGGATTTGCGTGTGCATTTATTTGTGTGCCCCTGGGCCCCCTCAAAGGAGTCGGTCCGCGGTTGGGGAAAGAGGCGCAGCATACAGAATGGAACCCTTCGGCTATCCGAACGAATCCCGGACACGCGTAATCACCGTGGCTCTCGAGAAGGCTTACTCGTCTGTCTTGTTCGGCACGCAGGCGCGGCCAATTGTGACACACAACAGCAGCGCATGCACTCAGATCCTCCTCCTGGCCTTGCACCACAATTACTAACATCTCGGCATCATCGCGCTCTCGCTTTGCTCTACAAGGCCTCTGGCAGCAGGGTGGCCTGGTGCGGCGGCATATCAGCCCATACCCCGTTCTGATAGATTGCCGGCGAATCTCGTCCAGCGTCGACCGCACTCGGCCACCGACTGCCGAGGGGAGGAGGAGCCTCTCTCCGCGGGGGGGAGGAGGAAGAAGGGGCAGGAGGGGAGCAAGGGCGCGGTGAGGAGGAGGGTTTCCAGGATTTCCGCCATCCCGTAGGGATATGAAGGCTGAGCTCAGTCACCTGCAACAGGGTGCAGGACTCGTGAGACCCGTCTGGAGCGCCCCACTCACGAGGTGAAGTCGCCGACGCACGCTTCACGCCGTACGATGCCGAGGAGAAGATCCCCTCCAACAGAGCAAGCCACGGACGTGCCCACAATTCCATACTCCAAATCCCTTATTAATCGTCCCCCGGGTCCGGTTTTTTAAGGCGCCTTTTTGGTCATTAAGGGGGTCCGGTTTATTAGGTCGCTTTCTTTGGATTGGAGCTGAGGGGGTCAGCTTTATTAAGGCGCCCCATCGAAGAGGGGGTCCGGAATATTAGGTCGCATATGGAGGGGGGTCTGGTTTTTTCGGGGGGGGTCGATTAATAAGGGATTTGGAGTACTCCAGAACAGGAGACGCAGCCGCTCTCGGATCACCGCCCCGCGTGCTCGATGCCCGCCCGTCCTCCCGCCGGGCCCGCTGCCGTGCCGCAGCGCGGCCGGAGGCCGTGCCGCGCGGGCGCCCGCGGCCGAGCGCCGCGGGCGGCCCGGCGGCGGCCGGCGTGGGCGGGCCTGGCGACCCCCTCCACCCCTCCTCCCTCCTCCCTCCCTCCTCCTCCCTCCTCCTCCTCCTCCTCCTCTCCTCCCTCCTCCTCCTCCTCCTCCCCTCCTCCTCCTCCTCCCTCCTCCTCCTCCTCCTCCTCCTCCTCCCTCCTCCTCCCTCCTCCTCTCCTCCTCCTCCTCCTCCCTCCTATTTCTCCTCCTCCTCTTCCTCCTCCTCCTCCTCCTTTGTCGTGCTTGGCCTTCTCCCCCCCCCTCACCTCGCCGAGCACGTCCCGCGACTCGCAGAGCGCCTACTCGCAGGCGCCCGAAGACAGCATGGCTTCCTCTGCGCAGTGTGTCTTGTGGATCCCCCGCGGCGGATCGGGGCCATTCGCGAGCAGTGACTCTGCGAGTCGTGGAACGCGCTTGTTCATCACCGCCCGATCGGCAAAGGCAGGGGCGGCCTGGGGAATTTGAGCTGTCCTGTGGGGCCCCCATGGATCCTCCGCAAGTGGCGGCAAGACTGCCCTGACGGAATCCCCCGTGCTGCTGACTTGCGACGAGATCTCAAGCGAAACGGCCGTTCCGGAACCCGGGAGTACAGTGGGGGCGCGCATCAAGAAACCATATGTATTTCGTCAGGGTATCCTGGGTTTCTATCGCTCCTCGCGCTGCGCGGTGACTTCCCGCAGCCGCCGAAGGCGCCGCTGCGTTCAGGGTGCTCCAGGCTTCCCCTCCCTTGCGCCTCGCGCGCGGCTTCTCAGGGTTGGGTTTCTTGCGAGGGTTTCTTGCGGCCGCGCCCGCACGGATCTCCTGGATCTCCTGGATCGGCACCGGGATCGCTGCGGCGGCGTCCCGCCTTCTTCTCCCTCTCCCTCAGCGCCGTCTTCTCCGCGCTTACCTCGGGGAGGGGGAGGAGGACGAGGAGGAGGAGGACGAGGCGGAGGGACGAGGTGGAGGACGAGGCGGAGGGAGGAGGTGTAGCAGCCACAGTGCTCCGACGGACCCCCGCCGTGGGGCCCCCGTCCGTGCGGCGCTCGCCGCCGCGGCGGCCAGGCTAGAGGAGCTGCTGAGCGCCCAGGCGCCGGCCCCCCGCGGCGCCGCGGGCCGCCATCGGCGGCCGCTCGTCCCGCCTCCTCCTGCTCCGCCTCCGCCTCCTCCTCCTCCTCCTCCTCCTCCGCCTCCGCCTCCTCCTCCTCCTCCTCCTCCTCCTCCTCCTCCTTTTCCTCCTCCTCCTCCTCCTCCTCCTCCTCCTCCTCCTCCTCCTCCTCCACAATTACTCAATACGAAAATACTCTCCCTCTTCCCCTGATGGCGTCCGGGTGATGGCCGCGCACCCTCCGCGTATTGTTTTTTTACACGGGATTCCCGGGAAATCCCGGGAAACGACTCTCGCTGAGGCGCCGGCGTCATTTTCGGGCCGAACGCCCCCCGCGTATTGTTTTTTTACACAGGATTCCCGGGAAACGGGTTTTCGCTTGCGTTTTTTGTTCAAAATGATGCTCTCGCTGAGGCGCCGGCCTCATTTCTGCTCGCGAATCGTTCCGAATCGTGCTCCCGCTGCAGCGTGGGCCTCATTTTCGGATCGGTGTTTGGCCTCCGTCGTTCAGGATGGCGTTCTCGCCCCAGCGCGGGCCTCTTTCTCGCGCGCCCATCCGCCCGCCACCACCGCGCCGCACCACCACCACCACCACCACCACCACCATCACAACCACCACCAGCACCAGCACCACCACCAGCACGAGCACCAGCACCACCACCACCACCACCACCACCACCACCACCACAACCACGCACACACGCACGCACGCACGCACGCACGTGCACCACCACCCACTACGCACGCGCGCGCGGAGCCACAGGTCCGCTACGACACGCGTCCGCGGATAGAGAAAATCAGCGCCATGGTAAGGGATGGGAGGGAGGGGTAGGACGTCAGATATGACGCGAGCGCACCTAGCTTGTCCTCCTCCCCCTCCTCCTCCTCCCCCTCCTCCTCTTCTTCCTCCTCCTCCTCCTCCTCTTCCTCCTCCTTCTCTTCCTCCTCCTCCTGCCCGTAGCCGTTTTGACTCAAGCTGGTCTCGAGCCCCCAGCTTCCCGCATGCCCCGCGCATGGCTGGACTGTGAGCTGCCGCTTGTGAAGAATGGTGACGGGAGCCCCCTTCCGTGGGGCAGCCGGGGCGCGCGCCTCGGCGGACCGGCTCGTGGCTAAGCTACAGGCCGAGGTCCAGCTGGTCAAGGACCCCGAAGATCGATCGAAGATCGATCCCCCATGCGGTGGTGACGGATCAAACCCCAGCCTCGGGTCCGGAAGAGGAGTGGGGCGAGCCGTTTGCGGGGCGAGGCGATTTTGAGAGGTGCTCGCCGCCACATGTTCGGTCTTGCTGGGCACGCACGGGATCCACGAGGGAACCCGCGCGATCAGCATCGCACGCGGTGGTAAAGTCGCCATTGAAGATACACCCCGATCAACGTGATGAGTCTTCATTCTGCTGCAATCGAATACGTCATGACGGCAGTGCCCAGGACAGGAGAGGTCGGGGCACCTGAAGCAACCCGACCAGTGCTCGAAGCTCATAGAACTCTCTAGAGATTTCGCCAGCCATCGCCGTCGAAGACGGCCCTGGACAGGCGGCGGCGGCAGGAGCGTGGAGGGATATGAAGATGGGCCAACTTCGTTGTTTGAGCTTTGCCTGCGAATCCGAGTCGTACCCCCCCCTAGAACGCGGAGACGCGAGGCTCCCGGCCGCGCCCTGTGGCGCCGCCAGACGGAGCAGAGCGGCAACATCCGATAAGCCATCATCTGCGTGCGCCCGTGTGGGATACCCTCTCAAAACCGGCCCCGTGGACCCCTTCCGGAAGGCGCCGCAGGAGGGCAGGCGGGAGGCGGAGGGGGAGGGGCGGGGCGACAAGGGCACAGCGAAGCACGAGAGCTACGCGGACCAAGACGGCACGCGGGGCACAAGAGGGCACCTCGGCGCACGAGGAAAAGGAAAAAAAAGCAGACCAGAGAACGACGCTGGGCCACAACGATTTCACGGAGCAGCAGTACGCGCCGATCACCAAGGACGCCAATACGCGCGAGGAGCAGCAGAGTCTCGCAGAGACGGACGCGGCTCTGGGCAACAAAGACGCGACGCACGAGACACAGCAGAGCGATGCCGCTGACCAGGACGACGCTGGGCACAGAGGACACCGCGACGCACGAGGAGTAGCTGAGAATCTTCGCAGACTGGGAGACGACGTTGGGCAACAAGGGCGCGCTTCTGGGCGACAGGAGCTCCGAGGCGCGCGAGCAGCAGCGCAACGCCGACCAGGAGGCGACTTTGGGCCACGCGGACAACGCGACCTTAGAGGAGCAGCGAAACTTCGCTGACCAGGAGAAGGCGCACGCACAACAGCAGAGCCACGACAACCAGGAAGCGATGCTGGACACGCGGGGGCGCGAAGATGACGCGGCAGACGAGATGCCGCCCGCATTCCTCGATCCCATATACGACGTCGTGGAAAGGCGACTCGTGGGGGGCCACGCGGTCGCGGACCCGTGGATGCACGCCAGCAGGTACAACGAGTGGATCGCGGAGGCAGTCACCGAGTGGCCCCGCTACGGCGTCGTCAAGTGGGCGCAGCTGAACCTCGCAGATCATGGGGAGTCGCCGAGCACAAAGGACCCCGAGGCGCACGAGGAGCAGCTGAGCCACGACGACCAGGACACCACGCTGGGCACGCGGGGGCGCGAAGATAACGAGGTCGACGCGGCGCACGGGGCGCCGCCCGCATTTCCCGATCTCATATGCGACGTCATGATGCGCATGCCTGAGGGCCGCGCGGTCGCGACCCCGCGGATTGACGCCATGTTCCACGCGTGGATCGAGGAGGCAGTCATTGAGTGGTCCAGCGTCGGTGTCTTCGAGCGGGGCGACTTGTGAGGCGCAGTCGGAATAGCTGGGCTGGGCGACAACGGGGGCGACGAGGAGGGCGCTGACACAGAGCGGGAAGCAGCCGGCCAGCAGGCATCTGCGAGGGGCGGCTGCTGCCCTGCCCGCGTGCCCCTGCGCGGGGAGAACCGCTGCAAGAAGGGCCAGAGCGCCGCGCGGCGCGAGCAATCCCCCACAAAGTGAACGCAACAAGGCCGAACTAGCACTGCTCATTGCTACGCCGCGCCAGCGGCCGAGCAGTGACCCCGAACTGGCTTCAGCGCTCGATCGATCGATCTTCCATCTCCGCCCCCTCATCGCCCACTGAACTCTGTCCACCCCCCTTCCTCTCCACCGGCCCCCCATCCGCCACCCCTCCTCCTCCGCCCCCGCGCCCCCCCCCCCTCCCCCCCCCCCATTTCTCCATCGGCGGAAGGCCAATGGAAACCAGCAGAAGTGAAGCAACGCCGCCTTCGCAAACGGAAGGCGGCGGAAGTCCGGCGCGGCGGAGATGAAACTTGAGCCTCCAGTGGATAACAGTAAGCGTGGGCTCAGATTTCCAGGCACCGCCCCCTGTCTCGGAAAGAATCAGCGCTCGCGGCGGGTTCTCCTATATCGTCGTTCGAACCCCGCAGCCCCGGCAAGGGTGCCTGGCCTGGGCGCGCCCCAGCGGGGGGGGTGGCTTTTGCGTAAAGTGCGATGTGCCCACCGCGCAGCGACGGATTAGCTATGCCCCCCGTGATTGCAACGGGCGCACTGGCAAATCACGCGTCGGCTTGCGCCAGGTCCAAGCGCGTAGATTGTAGCAAGCATCCCTTGTCCAGATGGGCACGCAGCACCGGGGGAAGGGTGAAGGGCGTCAATTTTCCCCGCGCAAGCGGAACGGCTCTCCATCGGTTTTTGCAATCTGCGCCAAGCAACCGACGTTTGCCGTTATTGTACTAGAAATTGGGCAGCGCATCCCCGCCTTGCGCAAGTTCTCCGTGCGCTTGATTGCTGCGTCGACCGCGCGGTCGTGCTCGAGGTCGACGGCGTTTTGAGACCTCGATGCCCGAGGAACTTTCTCTACGGCGGCGAGTACTTGTGGGTGAGTTGGGTTGCTGCAAGGCTTCGTGGCCAGATGCGGGCGCGGGACCTGCTGCCAATCATGGCTTGTCGCTGGCGCCGAGTACGTATTGCTGGCAAGATGCAGCGTGGACTGACCAGCGCAGCCTGCTGACTCGGGCCCCTGCCAGATGAGCCTGTCTGCCTTTGTGGCGATCGCTCCCGGGACTGGCCCTTCAGGCGCCGACGACGACGCGGACGCCGCGCCCCTGACCGAGGAGCAGGAGCAGGAAAGGGCTTTGAGGGCCATGAGGGAGACTGCCACTGGCGCCTTCCGTGGAGCTCCCACGGGGCCGCGATCCTCGCGAGCGGCGTGCCGAAATGGCCCGAGGTCGCCATGCGAACCCTGCCACTGGGGGCTTTCGGTGGAGCTTCTTATGGGGCCACGATCCTCGTGAGGGGCGTCCCGAAATGGCCCCGGGCCGCCATGCGCGCCCTGCCACTGGGACCTTCGGTGGAGCTCCTACGGGGCCACGATCCCCGCGACGGGTGCGCCGAAATGGGGCGAGGCCGCCATGCGAGCCCTGCCACTGAGGCCTTCGGTGGAGCTCCTTATGGGGCCACGATCCTCGCGGGGGGTGTTCCGAAATGGCCCGAGGCCGCCATGCGAACTTTCCCATTGAGGTTTTCGTTGGCCTATGGCCTCTTGGGGCCTCTTTGGGGTCTCTCGGGAGCCTCTCGGGGGCCCCAGTGGTGTCCCTTGAGGGCCTCTTGGGGCCTCCTGTGTATTTCTTGGGGCCGTCTTGGGGCACCCTTAGGAGCCTCGAGGGCACCCTTGGGGCAATCTTGAAGGACATCGATCGAAGGATGGGGGGCTCCTTAATCAGGGTCCGCCCCCCCGGAGGCCAACATGTTGCCAAAACCGTAGTACTGTCAATGATGTTGGTCTTCTCGCCGATGCCTGTTGCAGCGTTTTGAGTGCCTCTTCGGGGCCTCTCGGGGCCTCCTGGGGATATTTTGGGAGCCTCTGGGAGGCCCCTGGGGTCCTTGAGGGCCTCTTGGGGCCTCCTGGGCACCTCTTGGAGCCGTCTTGGGGCACCCTTGGGAGTCTCGGGGGCGC